TCTCTGACCTAACTTACCAACGAGTAGATCATAAGACCCTTATTTCAGTAGGGTTATTCCTCAATTCTATAGGGAGGGTTGCACACAGAGGTCAAGAAGAATCTAGACAGACCTCTTTGGGTTTTCCAAATCTATGAGCATTAAATCATACCCTTTTTGTCCAATCACATATCTATATGGTTCGCCATGCTTTCAATCAGGTCTGTGCAATGAGTCCTCTTAAAAAGGCAGAACAAGAGGGTCCAAAAGCTTTGGACAACTGAGCAAGTTGAGGTGCTGGTGCACCTGGAGGAATGGGAGCTTTGCACCTCTTCTCTCATACATCACCTTATGCATCTCTTCATCTTTACCAGGCATCCCTTGTATAGGCCTGTCTCCTTTTACTGTGCTTTGCTTCATTGCCCTTCATAGATACTGCATTTTCTTTTTAACAGATGAAAGTATTGAAACATCCCTGTGTTGAGCAAGTCTCAGGGTACTAATTTTCCAACAGTATATGCTCACTTTGTGTCTCTGTGTCATATTTTGGGTGACTCTCACAATATTTCAAGGGTTCTCATTAGTTGTGGTGATCTCCTATCAGTGTCTTGATGTTACTACTGTAATTGTTTTGGGGCACCATGGAGCATCCCCACGTGAAGTTGTAATCATAACTGAAGAATATTTGTGCTCTGACTTTGTCACTGATTCACATCTCTCTCCCTCTCCTCAGCCTTCCTATTCTCTGAGACATTAAAAAAAAAAAAAAAGGAAAGTAAGGCAATTAATGACCCTACAATGACCTCTAAGTGTTTGAATGAAAGGAAGATTAATACAACTTCCCCTTTTAAGTGAAAAACAAAAAATAATTTCTTTGGGAGAAAGGCATGTGGACAGCTTCTGGGCCTCTCATGTCAAACAGTTTGCTAAGTAGTAAATGCAACAGGAAAGTCCTTGGAGGAAATTAAAATGCTGTGCAACAGTCAGAGAATGCACAGAGCCCAAGGGGTAAACACCCTTCAACATCATTTCTTGCTGTTAGCAATTCAACAAAGACATTTTCAGGTCCACCCATTAGAGATCTGGATTTGTGTAAAAGAATAAGAAATGTTGCTATTCATGATCAAAATGCTCTCAGAAAAGGTGGATTCTGTTTACTAGGAAGCCTTTGGGTTTCTGAGCACTTGGATGGATGCCAAAGTCTAGAAGGAGCTGGATTGTTCTACCTCAGAAAGGCAACTTTTGACTTGTTGAGAGGCCCAGAGGGGAAGGATGTTGTAGACAATGAGACACATTAAGGATAGTGGATTCAGGGAGACACATAAGATCAGTGACTTAGTGGGGTGAAAGTCAAATGGCAATGATCTCAGGGAGTGAAATCAAGTACCAAGTGTTGGGTTTGAAGATGTGGTGGTCACTATGTCACAGAAACCTGCGAAACTCCCTGAAATCCCACTAAAGTCTGTTGACCCAACTGACTCTATAAAAATGCTTTTTCATTTGTTTCTGCTTTACTTTATTATTTACTTGATATTAAGGAGGGGGCTGAGTTGTTTTCTTGGGCAGATACCTGGCACCAAAAATGTGTCTAGAGGCAGGTGTCACCATGAGAACACCTCACCTGCTGCAATGTGCAGATGTTTCAGGAGTGATTGGACTTTGACAGGAAATCTAATTGGGTTGTAGTTTAGCAGTTCTTGGGAGTAACAACTGGGAAATATTTTGAAATTCAGTGCYCAGATTCTTTCCACATCAATGAAACCTTTTTCTCAACTGGGAACTGGCGATTATAGTGCACAGCCCTGATCCCCAGGTGACCACCCTGTGAAGCCAGCTTGAGCCTAATCATCACATATAATCCTTACCAGGTCTCAAGGGAACAGGARAGCAGCTATCATGGAAGGGACCCCTGAACATCACTGACATGGCCTCATAAGCCTCAGTGATGTGATTCTGAAGTGACCTGCTAAGACTCCCAGGCCAACGGTGAGAGAGCACATATGAGTGATTGAAAGAGAAACTGTCATTTTGCTCACAGCTTCTCAGTTTTAAATATGTTTAACCAATGAACTTAGCAGGTTATAGTGAGAAGAAATGGGTGGCCACACTTTTATCTTCTAGTGCCTCATCTGTCCAGTGTGGTCAGGTGAGGTGGGGACTTTTCTCTGTCTGAATCATTTAATGAGGCTGTGGATTCTTCCAAGGCCACTCCTGCCAACAGTGATAAGCCAGCCCCTTCTTCATCTGACAGCAGCAATGGGCTGTAGTATTGAGGGTTCTCAGAGCCTCTGAATGACAGCCACCAAGGCAGCTGCAAAAGAAGCAGGGAACATGAATGGCTTCTCATCAGCAATGGCTGGTTACAGGAGGGAGATTGTCACAACAAGAACATAAAATATCCTGGGATTAAATTTGATGGAAAATATGAAAGATATCTGAGAAGTTATTTTATTCCACTGAAGGACATATTAAAACCATGAACATGTCAAAATGAAAAGCTAGAATACTGAATGTTGTCCAAAATTTTCCCTGAATTAAACGTAAATATTGAAATATACTCCTCGTTTAGAACACAATACTTCTTTTTTTTTGAATCTGAAAAAAAATTTCATTTGAAATTCATTCAGACACCAAAATTTAGGGAAAAAAATCAAGAAAGTGTCATTATCTAAAAGATATAAAAAATGTTATGCTTAAAATGGTGTGTTTGGAAGCAGGAAGTGGGGGAGGGAGGAAGAAAGTGAGTGAGCCGGGTATGGTGGCTTATGCCTGTAATCCCAGTGGTTTGGGAGGCTGAGACACGAGAATTGCCAGTTCAAAGCCAGCCACAGCAATGGCGAGGTGCTAAGCAACTCAGCGACACCCTGTCTCTAATAAAATACAAAGTAGGGCTGGGGATATGGCTCAGTGGTGGAGTACCCCTGAGTTCAATCCCTGGAAAGAAAAGAAAGAAAGAAAAGAAAGAAAGAAAAGAAAAGAAAAAAAAAGAAAAGAAAAGAAAAGAAAGAAAGAAAGAAAGAAAGAAAGAAAGAAAGAAAGAAAGAAAGAAAGAAAGAAAGAGGGTGGGAGAACAAAGGAGGGAGGGAAAGAAAGAGAAGGAAGGAAGGAAAGAAAAAGGGGGGATGGAGGGAGATTGATAGCCCCGGATTTAGGACTAAGATACAGAAATATAGCAACTTATGGGGAATTTGCTATAGGATCAAAATGGCTTTTTGAATCAGTTTTGAAAGTCTCACAGAAAAATACATGACTAAGAGCATCATTTAAAAAAAATGAACTTAGACTCATGAGATAGCATATAAAGGTAAATTCTATGAACATTTTGACTAGATCAATATGCATTCACTTCTTTCATGTAATAAACATTAACACATCACCACATGCTGTACACTGAGTGTTTACAGATAATAAGGAAGATGTCACTGCCCCTTTCTACAGATGTGATAAGGGAGCCTAAGAGAATGTAGGAGCTGGCCAGAGTCAGAGATCTGGTGGAACTTACTCACAGGTGGTTTAGCTCCAGGGTCCCTGGGCATCACCACTTCAATCTATATACACACACATACACCCCTAGAGGCATGTCCCAGACACTACTGCTGTGTAACAAGTCACTCTACTGCTTGGTGGAGTGTTAAGCAAATGTCTGAACTTATGATGATTCAGGAACTCAGGAAAGGCCCAGTTGGGCAATTCCTGTGAGAGGTCACCATGTGGTTGCAGTCAGATGACAGCTGATGCTGTAGTTACCTGGGAGCTGAAGGAGGACTGGACATCCATGGTGGTCCCAGCAGGTGATGCTATCTTGGTAGGGAACTTAGCTGGGGTTGTCACCTGGAGCTTCTCCTGAAGTTTCTCAGGCATGGCAGTTTAGGTGTTGGGCTCCTTACAGGAAGCCTGGCTTCCCCCAGGGCGAGGGTACAAGAGAGCTTAGCAGGGACCTTTGTTAACCCCACATTGGAGGTCATCACCTCCCTTCCTGGGCTGTTTTGGTTGATGTAGTCATGAGCCTATTCAGAGTCAAGAGCAGGGACACAGAACCCAACACCTGAATGCCCACAGTGCTGAAGAAGTTCAGAGCCATGTTTTAAAATCTCCAAAATATATGACCACATAAATTTTAAAAATCCAAAATTTATAGTGTTTACTCTAAGCCACACACTGTACTGAACTTATTTATGTGGATTATCATATATACTTATATTGGACATTTAAAATAAATAAATATCAAAGCAAAACCATGCATATAGTGTATGCAGCAGGTGGGCCTTCTCCCCAGGACACACTGTTCACAGTCAATTCTGGGTCTGAGTGGTTTCTCTCTCAAGAGTGGCAGATGGAAGGACAGTGTGGAAAGGGGTGGAGCACATGCTATTTTAGGACTGTGACTTCCCTGTTCAAGCACCAAGATATTACTGTTCATGCAATGACAGTGACACCAAGGTGATATTAATAACACAAATTCCTTGGAGATCAAGTCCACCACATGCCAGGGCATTTGTTTTAAACACTACATCCGTTAAGCTGCATACAATGTAAAAGAAAGGCTGGGGACGTCCATCTGTGACCACTGCATGACATCTTATCCTGAGAGTACTGGAGGAGGTGCTGCCTGTGCTCTGTAATATGTTGTCCCCAACTTAGATTCTGGTTCAGTTACACCCACACCAATACATTTTCCATGTTTTTTTTCATGTGGGTAATTGAATATTTTATGGATAGTAGATGGAAATCCACCTATTTAGTCTCTGGGGAACCTGACAGTGAGAGGCAGTCTCCAAATTGWTGCTTCCAGGTTCCTTCCTAGGTCCCTGCTCTCTCTTGTCCATTTCCTAGGAGCCACTGCAGCTGGATGGCTGTGATCCCAGCCCCTTTCTACTCTTTCTCTAAGACCAGATATCCTGAAGGGTGACAGCATTGGCCCTGACATGCACACATGACTCTGTGGGCCTCAGCTTCCTGGTTATGGCAGACTCTTCCTGCATGCACTTGAGACAGTAGAGACAGTAACCACCAGGAGGAACTAATGTCACGTTCTTTATTGAACAAGGCAGAAGCAGTCTACATGCACCAAGCACTGGTGTGTTTGAAAAGTAATGAGAGGGAAGGAACAAGGGGAGAGCCACTTAGGTGCTCAACACCTGCCCACAGACGGCTTCTTCACTGGTCTGCTGGTGCTGGCACACTGGGGGACACATATGAGGGTCAGAGTCACTATATGACACAGGAGTAAGGGTATTCAGTGCAGTCCAGACTGGCACAGACCCTTAGGCATTCTGACAGCTGGATTTCGTCATGGAGATTGTGCCCAGCCAGGGCACAGTGTAGATCTGGAAAGAGCAGAGTGCTTTCTGTACAAGGGAAGAAAGAGGAACAATCAGTATAGGTTACAGTTAACAAGGAAGATGGCCAGCAGTAAGATGTCTGAATGGAGGTACAGAATAACGGAGGTGAGACACTTGGCATCCACGGCCCCTGCCAGATCCCAGAACACTCATCCCGATCCTGCAATGTCTACTCATCCCCTTTCCTATTGCTCCGAGTCTACCAGATGGCTTGTGACCCTCTGCTGGGATTGTGGGATTCCCCATCTTCCTGCCTCCAGTACAGCCCCAGCCCTCTAAGGACCAGCTTATGTCAGGCTGTGGGAGCCCCAATGATGCAGACAAGGCTGCTTACTGTTCCAGTTCCCTCTACTTCCAGCATCAAGAAGAGCACAGAGGGAAGCAGTGGAGCATGGGAAATACCCCTGAAAGACGCAGGGTGGGAGCAGGGGAGGCAAGGCAAGGGCTGCTCTCCCCAGGGACACAGAGAGGCTGGCATTGGGTGAGCAGCGACAGAACCACAGGGTTTCAGCCGCTTAGAGGTCTCTAATTTGTTCAGCATGATTCTGGGCAGATGTCCAAGGCTRGTATTAACAGAGCCTTTTCTCCCTCCCTGGCAACCATCCCTAGAGCTGTGTCCTCTAGTCCAGTGGGCAGCAACCCAAAAGCACACAGGGCTGTCCTCCACTCTGCAATTATGTTAATCATAATTGTGTACGCACATAGCCCCTTCTACAGCATCCCACCTATGCACAGGTCTGCATCGTCATAAACTCAAATACACCCCACACTCACATATTCATAGATCTTCATGAACCAGCAGACTCCTCACCCCACATAGACACACACATTCAACACATGCACCCAAGCATGTGCATACATGCTTCTCTTGACACATATTCAAATATGAGCACACAAAGACAAGCTCGCATACCCCTCTGCATGTATGATTGGTCCTTGAACCCTATAAGAGACATACCCTCTTCAGATGTGGCTCTTCATGGAAGGGACAGTCAGCCAAATAGGCCTGGGTCTTGGTACATGTGGTTCGCCCCATCTCCACATCCAAGAAGTAGTTCACCCCAGACACGATCTATATTAATAGAATAGGATTCACTTACAGTACTTCTGGTCAATGTCATATGCTTGCAGTTGCTCTACATTATAGAGATAATGTGTTTGCCTAGGATTCTTGTCTGCATTCACGAGCTACCAAAAGTATCAACCACAAAGCATACAAGCCAACTCTTCTAGCAGGATGGCCGCAGGTCCTGCTTTGCATCTTATTTCCTTCAGAGCAACTCTTAAAAAGGTGTCTCATGCAGGTGAGTAAGAGGAGAAGCAGGAAAACAAAAGGCAGGGCCTAAAATTATCGCTTACCTGGGTTCAAGAAGAGAAGGCATGGTTCTGGGAAGCTAACAAGGGTGGAGGCAGTTCCATGTTTCAGGAATGTAGGGCTGGTCTAAGCACAAGGGAAGGCTCTCTGCCTCAGGAGAGGACAACTGAATTCTGCTGACTGTGGCTCAGGAGGCAGGGAATGCTGGGCTGGGTTTGCTTAGGAGAGTGGCACCCTGATGATTCAGCCTCAGCTGGATTTCAGTCACCAGCATGTAGCCTATGGAGAATCCCATTCCTTCCACTTACCCCAGGCTCAGAATTCCCTCATTTTACACATACAGGGAGATTTCAAACCAAGAAGAAAGACTCTCTCTCAGATGCCTCCAAGTTCAGTGATTTTTTTTTTTTTTTGGTCATGCTCGGGATTAAACCCAGGGCTTTGTGCATGTGAGGCAAGCACTCTGCCAACTGAGCTATATCTCCAGCCCCTTCAGTGAAATTTTTGATGTAAGTGTGTCTTACACTTGTGTCTTACATTTGTCATTAAAAAATAGAATTTAACCCTTTCCCTGCACAGGGCACACTTATTAGAACTGAAGAGAACAGGGTGATGGACATGGTGACAGGGCTCTAGATCATGCCCTGTGCAGGGTCCTGGATCCTTTAGTATCCTTTTTCTTCTGTAACATGAGAGTTATGTCCTGTGCTCTGCTCCAAGTTAGCATCACACTTGAGAGGTAAGCAAGGGCTGTGGCACTGGAAAGTGCACATGTCCAAGGGGAGAGTATCAGTTGATTACTGCAGGAGAAATGGGTCTTGCCTTGACTCATCTGAATTTTTAAGAGAGGATGGAAATGAGTTTGAGACACTGGACTGTGGTAGAACACTTATGTAATCATGTCACTGTGCACTGCTTTGCCCTGGAACACAGGCCATCTGGTCTAAATTCCAACCTTCCTGCAAAAAACGAGCCTGGGGTCCTAGGTGCCCTTGGTGTTCTCTTTACCCTGTTCTCATCCTGGCTGACTGCCCTCCTTATTTGGTGAGGGCTGCAAAGGCTGAGCTCAGGAGGAGTCCTTTCTACCTTAGTAGGTACTCAACTGCTCAAAGGTACTGCCCATGGTGCACCTGTCTCAGGGTGAGGAACATATATCCTTAAGGCTGCTCCCAGGGAATGCCATACAGAAAGAAGCAAGGTTTTTCAGGATACACTGAATGGCGCTTGCTCAGAGGACTCAGGAGATGGGCTGCCTCAGGACCTGTCTCTAACCTTGAGGAACATCAGGGCCACCCAGAATGAGCAGTCTATTCAACCAGGTGTTGCTTCATGACTGGCACGTGTTCTCGGAAATGTGTCATTGTTCAAATGTCATAGCATAAATACACAAAATAAGACGACTATAACTTCACAGGATGATATAATCTTATGGAATCGCCACTGTACATGCGGTCATCATTGTGAGCATATGACTGAACACCACAGTTGGCTGGACCTTTCAAAATGTCAAGATCACAAAAACGGCAGGGGGTGCTCCAGATGAAAAGAGGCTGAGGAGACAGGTCTTTGCAGCATATACTCAGAGTGCCCATTAGTGTGAACCTCAGCAAAGCTGAGTAAGTCTGTGAGTTAGGCAACTGAAAAGGTCAGTGCTGATTCCTGATTTTCAAAACTGAATCTTGGGTATGTAAGACAAAACCAGCATTTACAAGAAATGTACACTACATTTTAGCGTTTACTTTCAATTCAGAAAAACAAATGCATATAAGTACACTCAGGTACAGGTGAATACTGGGAGACCTATGAGAACAGAGCAAACATGGTCAAATATTAACATCGGAAGGATGGGGATTGTAAGATGTTTTGTATTACTGTTGCAACTGCTCTATAAATAAATTTCAGAGATCGTCGGAATAAAATGTTAAAAGGAAAAAGTTCTCAATCGATCTTTCAGTGAAGGCAGCCAGGTGGGTTTTTTTCCATCGCCAGTGTTTGTTCACATTCTAACTAGGCATATATGACAGCAGAATGCATTTTGATTCATTGTACACACCTGCAGCACAACTTTTCATTTCTCTGGTTTTAACAGTTCACTTGAGCCCTGGAAGGTAGCATTGGGAGCTGTATAGGGGAAGATTGACTCCAACCTGGAGCCCTGGTGTCTCTGGCTTCAGTGTCCCTAGCAAAACAGAACTAAGACGCCAGACTTGTAGTGTCTGCCAGGTTTCAGGCAGAAGCAGAAGTAGGGACTTGCCCGTGAAGGGCTGTTGACAACTCCCTGGTGACAACACAGGCGTGTCGGCGTCCCGGAGATCCAACTGGCTCCTAGGCCAGCGGTGGCCGCCAGGGGCGCCGAGGTGGGTGGGAAGCAGCAGCTAGGGAAGCGCGAGCGGGGCTAGGAAAGCCGGGGCTCGCCCTCCGAGGGGCAAACCCGCCAGACTCACACCCTCCGGGCAGAACACGCACCTGCTTGCGGGCGCGCACCACCTTCATGGCTCGGCTGTGGTAGGCGTCGTTGCTCCCTTTGTTGTACTCGCTGACTGCGAAGTCCACGGCGCGGCGTACGCCTTCCTCGTTGACGTCGGCTTCCTCCAGGCCTCCCAGCAGGCGCGGAGAATGCCTGGGGCTTGCGCCGGTCGCTGGACTCACGGTCAGMGCCACAGCTAAGGCTCCCAGCAGGAGCAGCGGGACGCTCAGAGATCTCGCCATGGTCAGCTCAGACGTGGAGCTGATGTCTCGGCGGAACACCGGGACAGGAGCGGCAGATTGAGCACCACCCGGAGGCCATCCGACTTTTATCCTGTTTCCGCTGCCTGTCCCGCCCCCACCCGACCCCTCCTTTTCCGGGTTGCCACCCTCTCTTCCGTCCCTCCTCCCGACCTCACTCCCGGCCACGCCTCTTTTTCCTAGGCCGGCCCCTCCTCTTCCACCTCCCTCGCAGGTTTTTGTTCCGTGTCCCGCCCTCTACCTCTCCGCCACCGGCCCGTCCTACTCCTTCCATCCCCAAGCCTACTCTTCCAGTCCTGGTGCTCCGCCCCTGTTCCTTCCCTCCCCGTTCCCCGCCCCTGTCCCTTCCCCTCTCGGCTCCCCGCCCCTCATGGTGTCTCCTTTCCCCCTCCCGGTTCCCCTCCCCTCAGGCTCTCTCCTTTCCCCCCCTCCCCCTCCCAGCCCTCCTCTTTTATTCCTTTCTCCTCCCCGCTCAGGCTTCCCCTAACTTCTATTCTCCAGCTTCTCCGCTTGTTTTTGTTCCCCCATCCTGCTTCTCCAGTTCCACTTCTCCCTGCAAGACCTGCCCCTCCTTCTGAGCGCCCCCAAGCTTGAGTCACCATGGTCTCCACAAAGGTGTCACTGTTTTCTGGGCTCTCTGAACTTTTTTTTTTTTTTTTATTTCTCCGGAAAAGGGGAAAAGAGCAGTCTTGACTTCTTGGGGTCCTCAGAGGTCAGAGGCATCTGTGAACCTTTGTCAAGGTCTGGGAATCCCTGAAGCAGGTGTGATATTTCAGAGCTCCCCTAAAGACCAAGCCTGTGCCCTGTCCTGGTGCACTTTGCCAAACATTTTTCCTCATTTAGAAAGGGAATGGGGGTTCTCTCTTCTGTCACTGAAAAAACAAACTTTTCAACCATCCAGGGCGTGGAGATGAAGCACAGATGACTGAGCTCTGGAGATACTTTGTAGATGTGCTGCCCAGTGGAGATGTAACAGGAATCCATGTGTAATTTTAATGTTTCTAGGTAAAAAAAAAAAAAAAAAAAAAAAAAAAAAGAAACAGGTGAAAGTAATTTTAATATTTTATTTAATCTAATATGTCAAATGTTGTTTCAACACAGGAATGATTTTTAGTAAGATATTTTGTATCTTTGACTTATGTGTACAAAGTCTTTGGAATTTTGAGGGTGTTTGTAACATTTAGGGCAGATGTCTGTTTGAACTGGCCCCATGTCAAGCACCCTGGGGCCAAGTGTTGTGATATTGCACAGCCCAGCTTCAGAGTGTGTTGTTGGTGGGATGATTTAGAATGTGATCAGTAGCTAAGATCAGGGAGTCACAGGTGTTCTGTTGGAAATGAAATAGAAGGAGTGGGTGACAGAGTTGGGTACCAGTGGACACAGGTTGGGAGGCCTTTTTCCCACCTGAAATGAGAGGTCCTGTCTTGGGAAACAGAGGACAGGTAGAAGGAATAGGTGGTACAAGGACCCTTAGATACCTTTGGATTGGGCTGGTTCTAGGAACAAGCAAAGGAGGGAGGGTATTATTTGGAATCTCACCTTGGTGGCAGTATGGACAGTGCAGTGTGGGTGAGGCTAAGAGTAGGAGGGTAGGGAGACCTGTGCCAGGCCAGTGAGAGAGGGTGGGCAGCAGAGGGAATAAATGTTGGAGCCCGTGGTCTGTTCCCACTTCTTCCCTCCAGGTGTTCCACTGCCAGCTTTGATTCACTGTGCCTTGCTGGGAAAACTTGACTGCTTAAAAAAAAAAAAATCACCTTGAATGAGGAATGATTTACATGCAGTCCAATGCCCTATTTTAAGTGTTGGGACTGAGGAATTTTAGTGCAAATGTACACCAGAGTTACCACTCTATCAAGATCTAGGACTTTTGCATGACCCCAGAAAGTTTCCAATGCCTCAGGTGTATACTCAGGCCTGCCTTGGCACATTAGTCTCATCTGTTTGTGAAGACTCCTTCTGTGGGGAGCCACTCCAAATGTGCACACTTGTAAGTCCTGATGCACCACAGGGATCTGATAGATAACTGTAGTCTGGCATGGTAGTACCATGACTTGTGACTCGGCTTTTCCCTCGCTGGGATAATAAGATATGACGCTGGGAGTGGCCCTAGGAGTGGGCGGCACCCAGGAGAGTTGAGCTACACTCACCTGTAATCCTACCTCTTGCCTTGTAATCCTACCCCTTGCCTCATTTGAATGGTTTTTTCCCAGTAAAAGGGTTCAGCATGTGCTCCTCTCTATCTTTCCATTGACCCCTAAGGTCAGAGAAGCTGTCACAGGACCCAAAGGAAAAGGTATTTGTCTGTCTTTGTGTGGTTATTTCGTGCAGCCCACTTCACCTGGAGTGACCTTGAATGTTTAGTAGCAACATCCTTCTTTGCCTATTCTTGAATAGGTAAATGGACTAACAGAGTGTGAGGACATGTGTCTGTTTTTTTGAGCTTTCCCCATATTGTTTCCTTAATCTGATGGTTGCCCTTCTCTCTAGACTGAGAGGATGTGGTTGGGTAGGTACTGTGTGGCTCCCAAGGTCAGAACTGTGCAGTTCTGGGCTCAGATAAGGCACCAAAGTGGAAAGGGTGGATGTACATTCTGAACTCATAGCTGGTTTTGTTTCTTCTCTCAACTCTACCGTCTGTGCCTAACAATGACCCCATGACAAATGACCTTATGGGGAAGGTGGCAGGCTTTTCCAGAAGCCCCTGGAGGCTCCTGAACCCTTCAAGGGCACCTAGAAGGAGTGTCTTGTGAATGGTGAAGGAGATGGTTAGCCATATCAGCCCAGACTTGCTGGGAGCTTGGGGCTGAGCTGTGAATGGCTGGATCAGCAGGAATCCAGAAGGTAGGATCTAATGAATATCCATGTTTAGGATTAGGGTAGAGACACTGTTGTCAGAGGTATGGTTACCATCTAATCTCACTGTGAATCAGTAGCCTTAGAAAAATCATGGTCCCAACTAGATGGACTGGCTGTCACAATGTTGATATTTGCCACTCAGTGACGGAGAGGAAGTCTTCAAACAAGTTTGAACCTGATGCTTTCCTGGTTAAAGAGGAAAGAGGGAGATGCAAATATCCAGGAAAGACAGGGATGCCCCTGGGCAGGTACTTCTGAATGGAATGGTCATCTCCAAAAGGAAGGAGTTAGTTTTCATGTGGGAAACTGAGCTCTAGTCTGAGGAGAGTGGCATTGTGCAAAAGGTAAGCTGAAGCATGAGGAATCTTCTGCATCTTATCCTAAGAAGGAGGTCAGGAACCCCAATAGCTGGAGTGTGGTGGTGAGTGTGAGAGTGCTGGAGAGGGATGTCTTGATTACTCACACATGCTGATATATGTGGTTGTGCTACCTGACCTGTTATCATTTGTGAGGTCATTGGCTTATGTTGCATTGACATGGCAGGTGTCCTGATAAAGTGACATTTTGAAACCCCAGAGAACAGATACAAATGTAGGGTGCTCTCAGGATCTGCAGGAGCCACCTTTAGTGTAGTATGATGGGAAGTGGAATGCCAGGATAAGGCTAGACATTTGCTCCAGGTATTTGGATGACCTTGAGAAAGTGTTTTGCCTTCTTTTCATGTATTACATCTGGAGCAGGTAGGCTGTTTTGTCTTCAGTAGGGTCTGGAGAATCAGCCAGCAGAGAGGAGCAAGCTTCAGTGGTGATAGTTAAGCATGGTTAGACATAATGGAGCAGTCTGAACCCTGATTCCTGGAGTTTGCAGTTTCAAGGATAAGCTACAGATACCCAGAGAGAAATAGCAGACCCAGGACTGAGCCATTGAGCATCATGTGGCATGGAGGGGCACACTGCCCAGGAGGTAAACTTGTATACCTTTGAATCAGGGAAGAATGAGGAAATCATTTTCTCACACTCTGCATGTTTGACTGTTGATCTTCTAATATTAGGAAATTAGGTAAGAGGGCAAAAGGAATTCTCTACAATGATCAATAATAAGTGGCTATTAATGAATATAAAATAAATGACCAAGTACATAGAACTTCATCTAACATGAAAGAGGCAGGATCAAAGAGTTGAGCTTCTAAATATTCTAGTTTTGAGCCATTAAAACTTTGGGTTCATAGTCATACCTAGACTGAGTAAATCATGGGTTTTGGTGGCCTTTCAAAATGGAAAAATCAGAAGCCTGGAGTTTTTTGTGGTCAAGCTCCCTTGCATACAAACTCTCACCTCTTCCCCCATCCCAACTCAAGTTGATTTGCAGATACTTCTAAATCACATGCCAGTGTTGACACAGCATCTAGGGCTCTGCTAGGTGTTACACCCCTAAGAAACTGTGGTATACACAGGAAAATCTGTTGGCAGCCCTTGTGGGAAGAGATGAGCATTCAATGATAGTATCTGCTTTGTAGGAGGGAAAAGAATCCTTTTGCATGTTTTTACTCAAGGTTTCATAGCCCTCATTATTTTGTCATAAGCAGATATTTACTAAAACAGATCCAGTAATGAAGAACCATAGCCAAACAGAGCCATAGGGAGAGGTCTTTTGGGGACCCAGGCAGCTGGCTTGTATAGCTATGTGCTCTACCTCTCTCCCTGGGCCTCAGCACACAGATGACCTAGCCACGGGGGAAACAGAATGACTGGGTCAGTTTGAGCAATCCCCTTGGAAGATCCTTCAATGGTTGGTCTGAGTTTTCTTTGCAAATCCACAGTCTGTGCACTGTTGTCACTTCTCTTTTTGTGTTTTTGCAACTTTGAACCTCAGTTCCTTTTGCAAAGTTCAGTGGAGAGTGATTCCTCTCCCTGCCTGTGATTATAATCTGACTGACTCATTAAACATCAGAGCTGGAGCTCAAAGGTCATTTAAGGTATGTCTCCTTTGTGCCTTCTGTCCTGTTTCCTGCAGTCATCAAGGAGTGGATCTCATGGCCAAGACTGTTTCCTTGAGCACACTTTAGTCAGACTCCCCTGAGCTTCTCCACTAGGCCACTTGCCTTGGTCCCCTGTCCAGTCCTATCTAAGGCTTCACTTCTTAGTTTTAGCAAATAATTATGCTAAGTCATGTTTGGGAGAATCCCCCTGTCCTTGATATCTCATTTCTCTCAACTGATCAA